TTTTTATTTACTTTCTTTTTAGGGTGTCACACACGTGATTTGCTGCACAGGAACAATAGCATTTCCTTAAAGCATTGATTTACTGCAGCATTTGATGTCATAACTAGAATGAAATAGAAGATTAGTTATCTGAAGATTCCAGAGTGGACAATGTAAGCATAATACTGATGCCTTTTATTGAAAGTTGCCTAAAACATAATCATCATCTACTTTTCATGCACTTGTCGATATTTTGATTTTGATTTTGACTAAGTTTTTAATTTGAAGATTGGGTGGGAGTGAAGAATCTAGTATCTGCATTGCCTTCCTCAGTGAAGAGAGTTGTTCTTGTGTCATCAATAGGTGTGACCAAATCCAATGAATTGCCATGGAGGTAAGCGTAACTCATTTTGCTCTTAAATGATGAAGTTTTTGTGGTATTGTATGTTGGCTTGCTAGAAAGTAGAATTTATTTTACTGGTAATTCAGAATAGAACCATTCTAAAATTATAGTGAGAAACTAATATATACATTTCCAGAAGATTGATTGTGTAATTATTTGATGAAACTTATTATGTTCCAAAACTTTTGTCATGGACTTGTCATTGTTCCTTTTTCATGTAGCATTATGAACCTATTTGGTGTCCTGAAGTATAAGAAGATGGGGGAGGATTTTCTGAGGAGTTCTGGCCTTCCATTTACCATAATAAGGTAAGGTGAATTTTTTGCGTGTTCCAAACCTAGTGTTAACACTTGATGAACATAAAGGTGGTGGACTTTTAATTTAAATTGTACGTCTTAAAATTTTGAAGTCTTCTCATATGACATGCATTTTAGACCTGGAAGGCTGACAGATGGACCATACACATCATATGATCTAAATACTTTGCTCAAAGCAACAGCTGGTCAACGACGAGCAGTCCTTGTAGGTCAAGGTATGAGTAAAACTCATTTATAACAGTGGAACAACTCAAACATTTTTTTTTTCTTTTTTGTTAATTTCCTAAGCAATGGTCACCTGAATCAATTAGCAAGATATTCCAGATGTAAGATTGAATATTTGAATATATATACTAGCATTCTAGAAAATCGGTAATTTGACTTGCTAGCTAGAGTGTAGCTTGTTTCAAAGACAAAAGAAGAAATCAAATTCCCACCATTTTTGGTCTACTGAAGCAGGAGCCTGAGCTGTGTTGAATTACCCTTGGCTAGAGATCTAGATGTACCACTGGGTGATGGTCTTGTTACAAGTGATGTCCGTTAGTTACTCTTTCACACGTCTATTATGATCAGTAACTGCTGCTAGGTGAGCCCAAAATTGAATTCCATAGCTGATGGCATAAAAAGATTTCTGGTGTTTTTACTGTTGGAACAGTTTGGTTGATTATTTCACCAACCAATGTTTACTGCCCTAAAGTGTAATAAGAATTCTGATTGAATCAGTGAGAGTGTGGAGTTGAATACGAAGAGTTTCAGTTGTGAACCCTAACAGATCTAGGAAATCAATGCTTCAATTGGAGTGAAGTCATAAGCCATCATATAACAAAGGAGCTAGCTGGATAGATGCAAGGTTGCTTACTTCCATCAGGAATAGCATTTTTTTGTTGGAGGTAGAATAGGAAGCGAAGGGACTATCCGTGGTGGTGAAGCTAATAGTAGATCACGTGCTGCTAGTGGAACTGTGACAAATTGTTAATTAGGAAACTGAGAGGAACTTTCTTTCAAGTGAGACACAGACAATTCAGATGTAAATTCTTCAACAAAGATGAAGGAGGATGGCTGAAATGCTAATTTAGCAGGAACTATATAAAGGAAAAATGCAGGAAAATGACTAAGGTTTGTGTGGAATGATGCACTATGTTCATGACCATTAAAAATGATCTTTTAGAACTCTTAGTTACATTTAAATGGTTATTTCTGAGAGTACTTTCTCATAACTAAGGAATCTATATATGGCACATAGGAAAGGTGAGAGATCAGGTCAGGCTAAGGGTAATTCAACTCTAGGCAAAGGATATCACCATATCGTGTGAATTGGCTCGTATATTGAAGAACAAAAAAGCAAACTGTTAACGCTTATACTATAACATATCATAAATATAATTTAACATCATGAAACATGTCTACCCTTGTTGGCACTGTATACGTACCCACTTATTATATGAAATATATTGTACAAGATGCTTGGGGAATAGGCATTTTTTTGGATGTATATGTTTCATCACTACACGTGAGATAGATATTGAAACTAGAAAGTTAGTTTACCTTATTTGTGTTTCCCTTCGCATTTCAGATACATGACAATGACTCATTTATGTTATACTTTTTACTTCTATTTTTATTTAAAGTTCTAAAAATTTGTTACGAGCTTTCAGGTGATAAACTAGTTGGCGAAGCCAGCAGAATTGTGGTTGCTGAAGCTTGCGTGCAGGCACTAGATCTTGAAGTCACTGAAAACCAAGTATATGAAATTAACTCTGTTGAGGTAATGTTTAAGTGGTACTTTTGGCATCGGCTATATAAGATGATACATCTTTTTTTATTTTTAATAAGAAAGAATGCTATTGCATTGAGCATGTATTTTAATATAACTTTAACTATAATTTGTAATATACTGTAAATAAAAAGTGCATATTTGTTAGCCAATCATACTTTTAGTTATATATTCCTCATCTGTGCATATTGTTGATGCTAAACTGCATACATTTTAGGGGGAAGGTCCTGGAAATGAAACTAAGAAGTGGCAAGAACTATTTGAGGCTGCACAATCCAGCTAGCATTTCAAGCCATGGGTACATGCAACATACCAAACACACCAACTAAAAAAGACGTGCCTAAAGAAGGAAAACAAAGGGGCAAGTCAGTCAGAAACCATTAAAAAAGAAAAAGATATGTAGCATAATATTTCCTTCTGTTACTATTATAAATATTTTGTAGCAATTTTATGTTGATATGAATTTATTAAGAGAAGAGTTATGTAACACATGTTGAAAGGGCAGAAGGGTCCAGTGCTAATACAGCTCACCAAGGAGTGAGAAACACTACAAGAAACAAAATAACTAACTTCAGGCTGGAGGAATTCTATTGGTTTAATGCATAATATTATATTCGATGTTCCAGGGAGAAAAGAGAGTCAATTGGATATTCTGTTTTGCATTCTCTCTGCAACATTGCAACGTTCTTTTTCTCTGATGAGAAAAGTTTTTCTCATGCTCTCTGTTTTGGGAACACTACTCTGACCGTCATAGGAATTACTCCTAAAATATTTCAGTTTTAATAATAATATCTTCAGAGTATTCCTTCATTCTATATTTCTTTACTTGGTGCATATTTTAAGTATCATTTTTTTCTGCTATATCAGTGCTGTGATATCAGTACTGTTACAAGTTACTTTTGAATATATTAAGAGAAGAGAGTTGGCGAAGGAAGAAAACACATTTTTCAGAAAATTGATAGGTGGCGATTGCTTGTGTTAGAAAAAAAAAACAATTTGGTTCGTCAAAGCCAATATTCCCATCAATTCAACATAAGAGCTCTTTCTTCATTTAGTGTCTAGAAAAGCGCTTATTGCTGGTATTACAAGCTTTGAAAGGATAATCTTTACTGTACAAATTAAGAAGACTAACATCATATTTTTCTTTTCAAAAATGAGAAACCAAAAGTGTATATTTTTTATGTGTACGATTCAGAACTGTACAATTTTATCCACCTTCACCATTCCCACATTATAGTCCAACGCATCTTCTGCCTTGGTTACATTGCAGCATCAACTCATCGTATCATGTTACAAGCATATAACAAAAGAATAACATTAAAAAAGTATAGGATAAAAATGTCATTTGTTTTTATTTATTTTTTAAGAAAATCTTAAATCGGTTTCTTTCTTTTTTTATGTGTCTTAATTTGATTCATATTTTAAAAAAATTACTACAATTAGATTATTAGTAGGATTGTACCAAGAACGTTCAAAATGTGTAATTGTGGTTTTTTATTTATTTTAATAATTTTTAATAATTTTTATTATTTATTGTTTTAATATTATTCATTTTTTGTATTTTTCTATTTTTAAGTTTTCATAATTTGAGAACAAAATTTCTTTTTCAGGAGTGAACTTCAAATATCTCAAAATCCTCTTAATAACATTCATATGAAACTTTAGTGACTCATGCATAAATTGACTAACAACATTCATTATATGCATAGATAATATCTGGACGTATATGAGACAAATAAACTAATTTTTCTACCAGCCTTTGATATCTCCTTATGTCTATGCTTGCTGAATTTGAGCATTGAAATAGTTTATGATTTTGTTCAATTAATGTATCAATTTATTTACTTTCAAGCAGCCCAGTTTTCGACAGTAGGTCAATAGTATATTTTCTTTGGCATAGAAAAATACCACAGTTTGACTTAAGTTGAGGAATTATTGAAACACCCGGAAAACATTATAAAGGAAAGGGGAGGGAGGCTTTGAATAGTGTTTTAAAAACTTTTTTTCAAAACAGTGTTTAATAACTTTTTTAGGTGTTAGACGATCTACAATAGTTGTTATATGCTTGCGTGTTTAAAGAGCTTTAGGAAACATTTATAAGACAAAGTATTAACCTACATATTTTTATACTAGTTCGTTTCAACCTAAACTACGTCTAGTTCTCCCTTAAGATCTTTTAAGGAGTTCTACTAATCTTTAACAAAGATTACACGAGATTCACTACCCATGATTTACAACGAGTATCAATCACTCTTGGTCTCAACACTAGTTAATTGACTAGATCATTTAACTCAACTAGGTTAAACACAAGGTGTTTTAATTCACTTCTGAATTTATAAAACAATCAAAATGATTTTTCAAACAAGATACAAATTTGATAACGAAAGCATTATACGATGTAGAGAAAGAGAGACAACATAAGAGTAAGTTTGTTTATATGCACGTATTCTTCGTGTCTTCTCTTCATGCAATCATCTATATATAACTTTCTTGGATAAAAAATGTTAGATTGAGAGTTGACTCTCATGTTTTGTTTGAATTAATTTAAAAAAATGAAACATAACTAAAAATACATTACACTAGATAATTAATTCTTTTAATATAAATTCTTTTATTTTCATTTCTTATATATCATCTTATGATCTCTAAAACAATAGAGATTGAAAAAAAAATTCCAAAGATTAAAATATTGAAGATTAATTTTCTTAAACTTAAATATGCTCTAAGGTTTGAATTTTATTTTCCTTGAAACATGTTTAATTCTTTTCATCTATTTTTGAATCTCTATTTTTGAATATATAATAATAATAATAAATATAAATATAACTTATTAAATCATAATTAAATGAATAACACATAATAAAAAAACATAATTTTTTTAAAATAATTTCGTAATTATTAGTTATATTTTAATTTTTAATATGTAAAATTCATTCGTCACCTGCACAATTCTCCCATTTTATATACATATATTACGAATGATAAAAGATACTTTGACACAATTTCTTTACTTTTACACTCAAATAACACGATGTGGGTTCCATCTTTTTTAATTTTTATTAAAAATAAAAGGTTAGTTTTGGAAAAGAAACTTAAAAAAATCCGTGTTATTGGAATGTATATGCCACGTGGGCCTGTGAACGTACCACTGCTCATTACGAATATGTCTGTGTGTGGAGTGGAGAGAGAGTGAACTTCCAGTGAGTATATAGAATGATGAAATGGCACTAGCGCATGGAGGGTTGAAGAGAATGCAAGAAACGCAAATGTTTTCTGAGAAGATGAAGGAAGCGCAAAAGGCAGCGATGGAAAAAAGGTGGGAAGATTTCAAGAAATACATGATGGAAAACCAGGCAAACATTCTCACAGAGTTTGACCTGTTAGGGAACAACTCCATCCATATCGTAACTCGCTCCCATCCTCAACTTCTGACAGACATGATACAAATGGTGCCTGAAGCAGAAAGGTGGCCTGCGTTGTGCAAGCAGAATCGGGAGGGAAACAACGTTTTGCATGAAATTGTGTTTTCCGAGAAGGCCAAGGAAATGGATGAGGTTGTCTTCAAATTTGAAGAGTTGCTGATGGAGGAAAGCCCTTTGTTCGTCGCTGCCATGCATGGAAATCTCAAGATTCTCAAGAATATGGCTAAGCGTGTAGGTGATAAGTGTGAAAAAGAGTTGTTTTTATACTTATAAATGAACTCAATCTTGTAATTATTCATGTTTTTCATTGAAAATTGTAATAGGTAATAGATTGTTATGTAAAATATTGTACAGGTGTATTATTTAGACTTTGTCAGCCAATTTTCGCAAAGCGAAAGCCAAAATTCGCACTGCCAGAAGAAGGAAATTCGCATAGCGCACCAGTGCGCTGAGCGAATAACATCAGTTAAAGTGCAGCAGTTAAGAAAATTCGCATAGCGCACCAGTACATGTGCGCTGAGCGAATTAATGAAATTAAGTGACTTTAAAAACGTGACAGAAAGATAGAAAGTTGTTGCTGACAGAAGTTCCGGACAAAAGAAAGAAACGAAAACGTCTCAGAAACTTTCGGAGACTACTTCAAGGCATCAAGACACCATTTTTGCAAGGGATTGCTTCAAATGTGTACGTTTAGATGACTAGGAGTAGTTTTTCTTTTGTTGGAATTGGATGTAATGAACTTACTCTGATGTAATTTTCCTATTCAATATATCGTTGTTCATTCATATGCTCTTTCTTGAATTTACTATCATTGTATGAAAATATAATGTTATTTGAATGTTTCTGATTAATGGAAAGTAACTTTGAACATGGACATAGATAGAGCACCCAAGTGATTTGGGATCTAGAGATAGACTCAATAACTTGGTCATTCTTAACATCGGAGCATAAATTGACTAACAACATTCATTATATCATAGAATATATCTGGAGGACGTATATGATACAAATAACCTATTTTTCTAACCACCTTTGTATCGCCTTTATGTCTATGCTTGCTGAATTGAGCATTGCAATAGTTTATGATTTGTTCAATTAATGTTTCCATTTCGTTACTTTCAAGCAAATCCCAGTTTTCTGCTAGTGGAACTGTGACAAATTGTTAATTAGGAAACTGAGAGGAACTTTCTTTCAAGTGAGACACAGACAATTCAGATGTAAATTCTTCAACAAAGATGAAGGAGGATGGCTGAAATGCTAATTTAGCCGGAACTATATAAAGGAAAAATGCAGGAAAATGACTAAGGTTTGTGTGGAATGATGCACTATGTTCATGACCATTAAAAATGATCTTTTAGAACTCTTTGTTACATTTAAATGGTTTTTTCTGAGAGTACTTTCTCATAACTAAGGAATCTATATATGGCACATAGGAAAGGTGAGAGATCAGGTCAGGCTAAGGGTAATTCAACTCTAGGCAAAGGATATCACCATATCGTGTGAATTGGCTCGTATATTGAAGAACAAAAAAGCAAACTGTTAACGCTTATACTATAACATATCATAAATATAATTTAACATCATGAAACATGTCTACCCTTGTTGGCACTGTATACGTACCCACTTATTATATGAAATATATTGTACAAGATGCTTGGGGAATAGGCATTTTTTTGGATGTATATGTTTCATCACTACACGTGAGATAGATATTGAAACTAGAAAGTTAGTTTACCTTATTTGTGTTTCCCTTCGCATTTCAGATACATGACAATGACTCATTTATGTTATACTTTTTACTTCTATTTTTATTTAAAGTTCTAAAAATTTGTTACGAGCTTTCAGGTGATAAACTAGTTGGCGAAGCCAGCAGAATTGTGGTTGCTGAAGCTTGCGTGCAGGCACTAGATCTTGAAGTCACTGAAAACCAAGTATATGAAATTAACTCTGTTGAGGTAATGTTTAAGTGGTACTTTTGGCATCGGCTATATAAGATGATACATCTTTTTTTATTTTTAATAAGAAAGAATGCTATTGCATTGAGCATGTATTTTAATATAACTTTAACTATAATTTGTAATATACTGTAAATAAAAAGTGCATATTTGTTAGCCAATCATACTTTTAGTTATATATTCCTCATCTGTGCATATTGTTGATGCTAAACTGCATACATTTTAGGGGGAAGGTCCTGGAAATGAAACTAAGAAGTGGCAAGAACTATTTGAGGCTGCACAATCCAGCTAGCATTTCAAGCCATGGGTACATACAACATACCAAACACACCAACTAAAAAAGACGTGCCTAAAGAAGGAAAACAAAGGGGCAAGTCAGTCAGAAACCATTAAAAAAGAAAAAGATATGTAGCATAATATTTCCTTCTGTTACTATTATAAATATTTTGTAGCAATTTTATGTTGATATGAATTTATTAAGAGAAGAGTTATGTAACACATGTTGAAAGGGCAGAAGGGTCCAGTGCTAATACAGCTCACCAAGGAGTGAGAAACACTACAAGAAACAAAATAACTAACTTCAGGCTGGAGGAATTCTATTGGTTTAATGCATAATATTATATTCGATGTTCCAGGGAGAAAAGAGAGTCAATTGGATATTCTGTTTTGCATTCTCTCTGCAACATTGCAACGTTCTTTTTCTCTGATGAGAAAAGTTTTTCTCATGCTCTCTGTTTTGGGAACACTACTCTGACCGTCATAGGAATTACTCCTAAAATATTTCAGTTTTAATAATAATATCTTCAGAGTATTCCTTCATTCTATATTTCTTTACTTGGTGCATATTTTAAGTATCATTTTTTTCTGCTATATCAGTGCTGTGATATCAGTACTGTTACAAGTTACTTTTGAATATATTAAGAGAAGAGAGTTGGCGAAGGAAGAAAACACATTTTTCAGAAAATTGATAGGTGGCGATTGCTTGTGTTAGAAAAAAAAAACAATTTGGTTCGTCAAAGCCAATATTCCCATCAATTCAACATAAGAGCTCTTTCTTCATTTAGTGTCTAGAAAAGCGCTTATTGCTGGTATTACAAGCTTTGAAAGGATAATCTTTACTGTACAAATTAAGAAGACTAACATCATATTTTTCTTTTCAAAAATGAGAAACCAAAAGTGTATATTTTTTATGTGTACGATTCAGAACTGTACAATTTTATCCACCTTCACCATTCCCACATTATAGTCCAACGCATCTTCTGCCTTGGTTACATTGCAGCATCAACTCATCGTATCATGTTACAAGCATATAACAAAAGAATAACATTAAAAAAGTATAGGATAAAAATGTCATTTGTTTTTATTTATTTTTTAAGAAAATCTTAAATCGGTTTCTTTCTTTTTTTATGTGTCTTAATTTGATTCATATTTTAAAAAAATTACTACAATTAGATTATTAGTAGGATTGTACCAAGAACGTTCAAAATGTGTAATTGTGGTTTTTTATTTATTTTAATAATTTTTAATAATTTTTATTATTTATTGTTTTAATATTATTCATTTTTTGTATTTTTCTATTTTTAAGTTTTCATAATTTGAGAACAAAATTTCTTTTTCAGGAGTGAACTTCAAATATCTCAAAATCCTCTTAATAACATTCATATGAAACTTTAGTGACTCATGCATAAATTGACTAACAACATTCATTATATGCATAGATAATATCTGGACGTATATGAGACAAATAAACTAATTTTTCTACCAGCCTTTGATATCTCCTTATGTCTATGCTTGCTGAATTTGAGCATTGAAATAGTTTATGATTTTGTTCAATTAATGTATCAATTTATTTACTTTCAAGCAGCCCAGTTTTCGACAGTAGGTCAATAGTATATTTTCTTTGGCATAGAAAAATACCACAGTTTGACTTAAGTTGAGGAATTATTGAAACACCCGGAAAACATTATAAAGGAAAGGGGAGGGAGGCTTTGAATAGTGTTTTAAAAACTTTTTTTCAAAACAGTGTTTAATAACTTTTTTAGGTGTTAGACGATCTACAATAGTTGTTATATGCTTGCGTGTTTAAAGAGCTTTAGGAAACATTTATAAGACAAAGTATTAACCTACATATTTTTATACTAGTTCGTTTCAACCTAAACTACGTCTAGTTCTCCCTTAAGATCTTTTAAGGAGTTCTACTAATCTTTAACAAAGATTACACGAGATTCACTACCCATGATTTACAACGAGTATCAATCACTCTTGGTCTCAACACTAGTTAATTGACTAGATCATTTAACTCAACTAGGTTAAACACAAGGTGTTTTAATTCACTTCTGAATTTATAAAACAATCAAAATGATTTTTCAAACAAGATACAAATTTGATAACGAAAGCATTATACGATGTAGAGAAAGAGAGACAACATAAGAGTAAGTTTGTTTATATGCACGTATTCTTCGTGTCTTCTCTTCATGCAATCATCTATATATAACTTTCTTGGATAAAAAATGTTAGATTGAGAGTTGACTCTCATGTTTTGTTTGAATTAATTTAAAAAAATGAAACATAACTAAAAATACATTACACTAGATAATTAATTCTTTTAATATAAATTCTTTTATTTTCATTTCTTATATATCATCTTATGATCTCTAAAACAATAGAGATTGAAAAAAAAATTCCAAAGATTAAAATATTGAAGATTAATTTTCTTAAACTTAAATATGCTCTAAGGTTTGAATTTTATTTTCCTTGAAACATGTTTAATTCTTTTCATCTATTTTTGAATCTCTATTTTTGAATATATAATAATAATAATAAATATAAATATAACTTATTAAATCATAATTAAATGAATAACACATAATAAAAAAACATAATTTTTTTAAAATAATTTCGTAATTATTAGTTATATTTTAATTTTTAATATGTAAAATTCATTCGTCACCTGCACAATTCTCCCATTTTATATACATATATTACGAATGATAAAAGATACTTTGACACAATTTCTTTACTTTTACACTCAAATAACACGATGTGGGTTCCATCTTTTTTAATTTTTATTAAAAATAAAAGGTTAGTTTTGGAAAAGAAACTTAAAAAAATCCGTGTTATTGGAATGTATATGCCACGTGGGCCTGTGAACGTACCACTGCTCATTACGAATATGTCTGTGTGTGGAGTGGAGAGAGAGTGAACTTCCAGTGAGTATATAGAATGATGAAATGGCACTAGCGCATGGAGGGTTGAAGAGAATGCAAGAAACGCAAATGTTTTCTGAGAAGATGAAGGAAGCGCAAAAGGCAGCGATGGAAAAAAGGTGGGAAGATTTCAAGAAATACATGATGGAAAACCAGGCAAACATTCTCACAGAGTTTGACCTGTTAGGGAACAACTCCATCCATATCGTAACTCGCTCCCATCCTCAACTTCTGACAGACATGATACAAATGGTGCCTGAAGCAGAAAGGTGGCCTGCGTTGTGCAAGCAGAATCGGGAGGGAAACAACGTTTTGCATGAAATTGTGTTTTCCGAGAAGGCCAAGGAAATGGATGAGGTTGTCTTCAAATTTGAAGAGTTGCTGATGGAGGAGCAGAGGCCATTGCTAGAGCTGAGAAACAACAGAGGGGAAAGCCCTTTGTTCGTCGCTGCCATGCATGGAAATCTCAAGATTCTCAAGAATATGGCTAAGCGTGTAGGTGATAAGTGTGAAAAAGAGTTGTTTTTATACTTATAAATGAACTCAATCTTGTAATTATTCATGTTTTTCATTGAAAATTGTAATAGGTAATAGATTGTTATGTAAAATATTGTACAGGTGTATTATTTAGACTTTGTCAGCCAATTTTCGCAAAGCGAAAGCCAAAATTCGCACTGCCAGAAGAAGGAAATTCGCATAGCGCACCAGTGCGCTGAGCGAATAACATCAGTTAAAGTGCAGCAGTTAAGAAAATTCGCATAGCGCACCAGTACATGTGCGCTGAGCGAATTAATGAAATTAAGTGACTTTAAAAACGTGACAGAAAGATAGAAAGTTGTTGCTGACAGAAGTTCCGGACAAAAGAAAGAAACGAAAACGTCTCAGAAACTTTCGGAGACTACTTCAAGGCATCAAGACACCATTTTTGCAAGGGATTGCTTCAAATGTGTACGTTTAGATGACTAGGAGTAGTTTTTCTTTTGTTGGAATTGGATGTAATGAACTTACTCTGATGTAATTTTCCTATTCAATATATCGTTGTTCATTCATATGCTCTTTCTTGAATTTACTATCATTGTATGAAAATATAATGTTATTTGAATGTTTCTGATTAATGGAAAGTAACTTTGAACATGGACATAGATAGAGCACC